CTTTAAGACAGCTTTATCAAAAACCATACCTTGAGGAAATGCCACTACTGCAGCCTTGTCCACAGTGTAACCTTGAAGCCTAAAATGCTGTTTTTTCCATTTCACTTCTTGTGGAACTAATCAGATATCAAAAGATGTGCCACATCTTTTGATAACTGATTAGACAGATACCAAAACACATAGACACAGAATTTTACACGTGGAAAAACCACCCTAATTTAAGAAGGGGGAAGCAGGGTGTGGATTCTTCTCCACAACTTTTTATGGGGAAAGCACTTTATCTGATTTAACAAGTACACAAAACTGCATTCTCAGGCGTTCCTTGTACACATTTCACGCCCAGTCTTTCAGCCTGTCACAAAGAGCTCACTCACTTTCCAGCTCAGACAGCAGATGAATCTTCTATTCCAAAGGCCTTTTGGCACATTGGTCAACAGGTGTTCTTTTCACAGCAGCCAATTTGTTGCTATGAGGAAACATGAAACCAAACACATTTTCTTGGGAGTGCTGCTGAATTCTGTGAAGTTCCCAGCTGAGCAACCTTAAGCCATCAGAAATCACCATATTACCACCTTTTGCCCAGCTAATAAATCAGTTAGTTTCTCTGTATTACAATATCTATTATCTATTATTACAGTCAGACACCATAGACCTTCACTCCTGAAACTGCAAAGAGGTCAAACTATCTCTAGTGAGAAGCAACTTAGCCTTACATGAATCACCCACATATTTCTTTAGTTTATCATTAGCTGACTTCTGCAGAGCCTCCAAACCTTCTGCCAGCATATAAATTGCTTCTGGAGCAATAAAACTAACATCAGCAAGGGAGTTGCACTAACATCACTTTCCTACATATTAGCAGTTGTTAAATTCAAGTCACTTAATCTAACAGCAGTCCTTCCTCCTCATTTGAGGACAATATTCACAGTGTTCAATACAGCAACCAGTTTAGTTTTATAATCATTCTTCACTAAGACAGTGTTTTGCCACAAACCATGAGGCATCATACTAGATATAGCTTATAAGCAAATTGCTTACCTTTTGGCATATATAAAATGTTCACTACAAAACAATGTAAGATCAACAGCTGAAAAATATCCCTTTAATTTAACTAATGGGGAATTTTCCTCATTAACATAGTTGCAAATGATTTTCAACGATTTTTCAAAACTAAAAAAGATAAAGTGATTTTTAAATACTCTTGACTTTTGAAGATACACTATTTTTCCTTGAATTCATTTTTAACCACAGGACGTTTTCTGAATTATGTACTATATCTACTGTATTTATCGCATCATCTCTCCTGGCTGGCCTCTCAGAACCATTAATTCAATGCTCCATCTGCTGCAGTTGCTCATGCCACAGATGACATTTACATTGGCTTTGTTTCCTCAGAAGAAAATACATTGAAAAAGGTAGTCTGACAGGTCCCTATGTCCATTTCACAGGCTAAACACAAGTTATAAAGATCATTCCTGTAACAACTGACAGAAACGATGAGAGAACAAGTGGAGACAACAAGATGTGCACCAAACGTGCCCTCTTCTTTCAAGGGAATTGAAATTATTTGCATTTATCATTCATCCTTCCAGTAGGTTTAAAATAACAGTGTAAAAAATACCCCAGGAGACATGGAAAAGGCCATCCCACTCTACATGTTTCGTGTTTTACAACTCCTGCTTCATGCAGGAAAACTGCCATCAAAGGCAATATTGCATTCTTTCAATATCAGAAAGAATTCTTTAATTTTTTTTTTCTTTCAGAACAGATTTTATATCAATTCTGTACAGCAAACAGAACGATGTATCAAATAGCCCAGCAACAAGTTGTATGGATATAGTACAACATGACAGGATTGTCTCATGGCAGAGAGAGGGTCAGTGAATATTACTCATTTACAGCATCCAAACTGACCAGTAACATATTTACAGATCAGAAACTTGAAGACAGCATCTGCTCTGCATACACCTTTAATACTTTATAACGTATTAAAAAGTATGCAGTAACTGGGACAAGGAATTTTGCAACAATTTTTTCTTTTTCTGAATAAAAAAACCCTCACCTATATGGAATAACAGCTTTTAAAAATATTTTTTCAAACAAATGCCTCAGGAGGATGACAGATTCTGCCAAATCTGCAGTGAGCTGCTAAGCATTCCATGAAAATAATTTTCTACCATCAGCCAGAGTCTTGGTATGTTCAGAGGACTGACCTTCAGGATGCCTTAGTCCTATAGGAAACCTTTACTCTGAAAAATCACTGCACCACACTAAGCTACTTCTCCATTTCCATTTTTTCTTGTTCTTACTTTGGGTTAAAATTTTGTATATATTCTGAGCATGCTTACAAACAATAAAAAAGGAGAGAGTGTGAAAGAGAAAGGGAGAAGGAGAGGGAGAGAGAATTACTGAAAATGTTTGTCCTGTATGTCTTTCAGGCCTAAATTAATTACAGTTCATTTCTACCCTTCTGTTCATGCCAGCCTGGGTAACAGAGAATAGTAGTAAAAGGAAGACCATGTACGAGATTTAGAACTCTCAACAGCATTGGTCAGCAAAAACTAACAGAAAAAATTATTCTTACAGTGAACTTCCATAAACCATTTCCCTCTTTCTGTCACATTTGCACAATGCCTAAGCTGAGGGTAGAAGTAGCAGAGAATACTACTAGAAATCAGGAAACTTTTCACCTGGAAGAGTTCAGTAAATTCTAATTGTGCAGGGAAGTATTTAGGAAACAAAACACTGGATGGGATTTTTCTTTTTCCAAGAAGCAGTCAAATGCAAAGACAAGATTCTCTTTGGGATCAGGACCACTGTTCTAGTTCTGTACCTACCTAGGAAATCATAATGAGTGGAGACAGCACTCTTCCAAACTGTTTTAAGCAGCATTTGTTGTTGTTTCAGATTTCAGTGCCATGAGAAAACGTTCCTTAAATATTTCTACATTTTCCTTTATTACCCACAAAAAAGTGCCAGAGATGCATCTACCTTCCTCTACCTATTTTTCCATGCAACACATCACTTCATATGAATCTCAAATCTCTATTTAGTGTCTGCTTACAGCTGTCCTTAAGCTGCCCATGGTAAAACAAGTGACCTCCCCTTTCCAAGATACCTCCCCCACTGCAGGATATTATAAAGCCTTTACCAAAACATTTACAATACGTTGCTTATTTGTGACACAGAGTCCTCCTAAAAACTGTTCTGTAAAAACCGTCTATCTCCATAAAGTCACAACTAGAAGATAGAACACCTGGATCAAGGAGATACAGGACTGCAGTTAAAAAGCTCTATTTGAGACCTGGGTCCAAATGTAAGCAAGAGGAAAGGCTGGGAAGGTAAGGCAGCCAAGGTAAGGCACATCTGCATACCTACAAGTTCAGAACAGCCTCCATCGCAGAGTCAGAACTGTGTCAAGGATAGAGTAGAAGATTTACTTGGTACTATGACAATCTGATTCACCTTGGGCTTAGGGCAGCCTTACCAGTAAAGGGATCATCACTGCACTCCACAAGATCCTCCACACAGTCCCCAAAACACATTTATATGTTTTCAAGTCACAAAGTATTTTGGAGAAGAACCTGTGGCATATACTAGAAATCACTGTGCATTCTATAGATATATCTACCTTGCAAAAACAGCTTTGTCAAGGACACAGGCATCAGCTAGCTAACAGGAGTCAAATCTTTTATACACATGGATAACTGTCTATCTCTGCAAAAATTGTGCTAATCTAACTAGATTTTGTCTTGCAAGGGTGGAGATCACCTCAGCGCGACAGTGCCAACTGCGCTGTCATTAGCGCCGTTATCACAACGAGTCCACAAGAGCTATTCTTGTTACTACACATACATGCAAGAATGGGCTTTTTTAGAAAGAGCTAACACTTACAATGTGAAATTCCTTAGCTGGAAATTGGTACCTACAGCATTAATATTTTCAGTGAATTGATTCCGCTTTTAAAAATTTTTGATAATGAAATCCCCAGGTTGCATTTCACAATAGGTTGACACTGACAGAGCCGTGAATCCTGATAAGAAAGAAAGCTACCATTTTATTTCTTTGGCAAAGAATCCAAGCAGGAAAAGGTATACCATGAGTCAATTCTTCAGACAGGAATTATAATGAAAGCAGTAGTGGCTGCACCCTTCACAATCCATCCTTTCTTATTGTATCAAGGCTGTAAAAGCTTATTCCTCCTCCAATATTCTAGGCACTGCCCCACATCATAACTGCCAACACTACAAACTCCTGAGTCAAAACTAATAGCCTTTAAGGTGTGGTTTATAACAATCATTCTTTTGAAGGAAGACAACAGGTAAGGCCTGTAGAAACTAAGCACTGAGCTTCCTTTCAGAGGTGGGACTAAAGAGTTACCTAAAAACCATACCAGGGAATTTCACCAGTCACAGAGATTTGTATTCATCATGCCACAGACCACTCAGTTCAAAAGCCTCTCTTCAGCAAGTAGTTTCTGAACAGCACTGGAAAGAGAAGGGCTGGAAAAGCCCAAAATTGCATGGGCAGTACTACCCTTAGGGAGTGTTCAGAAATGGAATTACACCTCTAGTGCAACCTATCAAGTATAGCTGGGCTGGTACAGAAAAGAATGGGCATACAGGAAAGTATGAAGGCCTCATTGCAAAGCAACAACTGTCAGTAACTGTTAGATTTAATTACATGTTCTCCATAACTTTCACAGTGTTCTTGGCATTAAGATGAAATTAGGAATCAGCTATTTTGCCTGGCTCACTAGCTTTACTTCATTACATGAGAAACAAAAAACAAAAATAAAACAAAAAAAATCCAAAAAGCAAATTAATAACTACAGCTCCAAGCAGAGAAACAGTCCCCAGCTACCAGCTGACATCTCTAAGACAATTATGACTTGTCAGCAGAACGAGACAAGAATTTGTCTGTTTTGTGAGTAAGTCAGAACAACACATTTAGTTTTTCTCCAGGGTGCCACAGGTGATGACACTTAAAAACTTTCTTACCTAAACTGGTTTGCTTCAGGACTTGCTGTGTTCTCATCTGCTGAAGAAACAGAAAAAGCCAAGGCTTGACAGTCTTCAAGATATTTGAGATCTCTGGCATTTTTCCAGATATTTCAAAGTAATAGGCTGCCCAAGCTAGCAGTTGGTACAAACCTGACTGCATTATAATTTTATTCCAAAGCTGACTAACAACAAAAAAGAATAGGTGAAAAACTAAAGGTTGAATTCCTCACCTGACATAGCTCCTGTTAGCCATATGCTCAAGCCAGCAAAATGTACTGTCTCTCTGAGCAATAAACCTAGAATAGGCAAAGGCTGAATTATTAACAAGAACATGAGGAGGCCTTAAAAGCACACGATGAATGAAACAGAAATACAAAGCTTACAGTCTGAGTTAGTTTGTAAAGGAAACTTAGCTCAGTTGACCTATTTTGAACACTAAATTGCACATGGAAAGAAGCAGAATGGTGTTTTATTGTAATGCAGGGAAATTATGAACACAGTCCCTTAAAACTGTCTTCATACCAGTCTCTCCCAATGTAGAATTTCACTAAAATAGAAAAATCTGATTTTTATTATATGGTGGCTGTACACATTCCCACTCCACTGGTCACCTCTCTTTTCAGTCATTAATTGCTAATGTGCTTCCAACACTCTATTTTGGCTCCAGCTTTTTGTACCAAACATTGTAGATGTGCTCCTCAAGCAACTTACAACTGCACTGATACAGTCTCTAGGTTCATACTGTATTTCAGGTTTAAAATTGGGTCCTCCAATTAACTTTTAATATGGCACAGCACAAACAGCACAACAGGAATGAAAGCAACAGATATCTAGGAAAAGGCTGGAACTTCTTTCACATAACTTTGTGTCTTTGGATATTGCTGATAGCAACTAGAAAGTACCAACAAACATAAAAAACCTTGCCAGGACAAAAGGAGATATTGACACCAATTCATCCTCTCAAGAGAGAATTTTCCAGTTCCTCTGTATTCTGTTGTGCAGCATTCTTATTATCACTTTCAATGCCATGAAGCAGACACTAACAATTAGCACAGCATTCAGAAAATGACATTATCTGCCCAGGCACCTCATACTGTTCCATCTAAGTGTTAGGTTCCTAATTCTAGGGGTGGGAGACACAGGACTCACCTTAAGTACACAAATGTGAATATGCACATGGAAGTTGAACGTCTAACCCAACATTCACAACAAGAAAATAAGACCAGCATATGAAGCCTGGAGGGGAGCATCACTCAGGAAAAGCAAGTCTTTATCTGCATGGTGCCTCTGGGAAACTGGAATCAAGAGATTTAACTTCCTTACTTAAATACTTTCCCTTACTTGGAATTCACCTTTCTTTCTTATACCTTAATCTCAACTCCCTACTGGTTTGAATCACAGGCAGCCAAAAGTAAAGTGGCAGATTCCCATCTTTAGACACAAAGGCAGATGAACAATTAGTTCCTGAATTACAGAGATTAATATTAGTTTCGGATATATACAAGGCAGGAAGGATGTGTTTATTAACAGAGGTACTATCTGTTTTATAGAGTCAACCTTGCTATTTAATACACTATTTTCAGTCATTGTACACAGTGCAGGAACAGTAATTCTGCTCAGATTAAATACAAGTAATTTTTTTTTTTAATCAAAATGCCCAGCTTAATATATTGTTGAAGCTTTCAGCCATGAACACTGACCCCTCTAAAAATTATATCCCTTTCAAGTGTTTCAGGTTGCCAACTACAGAAATCTCCAGGGGTTACTGCAAGCATTGCTCTGTGAATCAGAGGGGTTAATGAATCACTATTATTTCTGCCACAGTAGGGGCATAAGCCTGAAGGAGATGAAATTTTCTTGAAAATTCTGGAAAGTGTATGTGATGTGAGAAAGGTCAAAGCAAAACAAAAAAAGTCCATGCAGAATATTAGGAAAGCAGCTGAAGAGACTGATAGCAGTAATTATGCCATTATTTCAAGTGGGCTGAACATATTCCACAATCCCCTGTGTACTGAATGCACCTCTCTCCATAGTCAGTATGCTACCATGCTTCAGGAGATGAATAAATTTTCCTGAATTTTCATCTATTTCGTAAGAAATACTGTAAAATTATCTTAGTCCACTGTTTTCATACATGTAGTTCTGCAAATGTCTCCTTTATCCACATACAGGGTCAGTACTCCCTCTCCACACAGCAGGACAGAGGCCATGTCTGAGGCAGAAACCAGGTGAGGGATGGAGAAAAGAGGACCAGTCAGCAAGAAGCTATGACACAACTTGTTCCTTACAAAGCAGCACCACCAGCAAATGAAAAACGTTGCACTTCCTCCCCCTCACCACAGGCCAATTCCCAGCTGTGTTCAGCAGAGCTTTTCCCTACTCTATGGCACTCAGATGGAAAAGCTCAGCCTTACACTGGCAGTCATTTAACCCAGAGCAGTGCCATTCCAGCTACTGCCACACAGCTTTTCAGCTTTGGCAACAGAGAAGCATGTATGGCCCTACACAATGCATTATTCAGAGAAGTTCTCTTTCCCAGAGAGGGAGAAATTCCTTGCAGCCATTTTGCACAAATAAACAACAAAAATCTGTCAAATTATTTTCCAGATTTCTGATGTGGTGCTGTGTTTCTTCACTATTTATGTCACATGTTCAACTCTCAAAACAAGAGCTGTGCAGAGATGTGAACGATGGATGAAAAGCAGAACAAGTTAGGAAGGAACTAGCAGAAGATTGATTTTATGCATTTTATTTATCCATCTCCATTTCTACCTGAAGAGCAGTCACTCCACTGTCCATAGAGGAATGGATGTTTCCCTCAGCTGTACACTGTAACCCCCCAGGTGACATCACCCTCACTGTGTCCTTTTAAATTTTCCTGCTGCAGCTCCCTTACCTTCTTCCTCTTCCTATCACCCCTCTCCATTTCAGGAGCAACATGGCTTTATCAAGCAGCAGAGACAGAATCCATCACAGCAAATGAGTCCTCATGCTGGATTCCTCAAGGATATTCCTTAGCACTACAAGGAATATGCCTCCATATTTTCATGTGTCATACAGGAGTCTTTACTAAAAATGCCACTCTGAACTTGTGTCCTGGATGATTGCCAGCCCCATTGCAGCTTGGTTATTCTGCTGCAGTACACTTCAGTTTAAACTCACCACAATTAGAACAGAAACAAAAAGAACAATTCCTACTGAATGAAGTGCTGATTCTTCGTGCAGGTGCAGAGCATTCCCAACTTCCCTACAGCAATCAAGCCCCAGACATCCCTCTGTTCACTGGCTCTCTACATTACTGAAGTTCAGCTGTAGACTGGTAAAAAGCTTTGTGTTCACCTGACCAGTTATGCTCAGGGCTTGTATAAAGCTTTTTTCCTCCTCTTCCTTTTTTGTTACTGATCCATAGGCCCTCCTCCCTTGTATTTCCGTGGATCATGAGAATCCATTTCTAGGGACAGTTAGTTTGGAAAAACTAATGAAAGAGAAGCTACAGGCACAGAATGTATCTCACTAAGTGTTCAGATGATAACTTAAAACTAGGGCTAGGTTAAAAAAAACCCAAACAGTAAAACCCAAACCTTTAAGCAGAACAAAAGTAAACCCTCATGATGACTTTCAGGACTTCAAACCCCCTTCCTGTACACAAATGTTCTTTGATTACTCTCACAGCATGGCATAGTGCATCAGCACTTCATTCATTACCCTCTTCTCCTCCAGTTTCTCATTGGCCAGAAGGCTGGTAATGACAGTAACTTCTGTCTTTGTAACACAAAATGTTTCTCTTCCCCAGACAGCCTGCACTCCGGAGTCCCCTGTTAGTGAGCCTCTCCAGGCATTAGCACAGCAAGACTCATTGTCTTTGTCCAATGAACTTTTTATTGAGAAAGCATTTGGCAAAAGCACTGCAAAACCAGTCCTGCAAGCTCTTAAAGCAACCAAATAGGCATAGCATTGCTAACTAAATCCTCTTCTCTGCAGTTAGAAAGTCAATAATATAGATACAGTACTTCTTCACATCGAGGATTTGGGGTGGTACTGGAGAATTCACTTCCTCTGCACACACACCAACCGGCAGCACACAACGCTGAGAAGGAATCTCCCAGGGGCCCTCTCTCCAATGCGCACACACAGTGCTGCCTGCAGATAATGTTCCCACAGCTTCCTAACCGTGGAACACCACCAAGCAGCACGTGTCAGCACAGAACTTCACATTCTCCCTGTTTCTTAAACAATCCATTTGCACTTAAATTGACTTCCATTATTAAAAGGGTCTGAAATGGCTTTTAGAAATCTATATCCACCTTGACTCCTAACCAGATTACTATATGAAAATCTTAGCCCAAAGGAAAAATAGCTCTGCTTGGCTCAAGTAATTTTTATTGTTTGAATAAAACTTAGATGAACTCTATTTTAATTCTTGTGTTACAATTTCAATAATTAACACCAACTCGGATTAACATTTGAAGGAATAAATTATATAAAGCTGGAATATTAACTGCATTACAATTTGAATTTGACATAAGAATGAGCTGGACTTCAATTTGGGAATATAAAAAGGGTCTTGAAAAAGGATTTTATGTGTTTTCAGAGCATATTCTCCAAGACTCCACAGTAGGTTAAGATACAATTTATAGCTTTTGACAGAAAAAAACTCAGTAACTGCATCTAACTTGCTGACAGTGACCTCTATTGCTATACATAACGCTAGCTGAGATTTCTGTACAAGAACATAATTTTCCACATAATAACTGCAGAAAACGTCAAAACACTGATCCTTGGTTTCCAGTGCAATGAAACTGAAATTCCAGAGTGCAGCTTTTGAAGGGGCAGATGAAGTAAGAAAACCTAGCTTTTAAAAATGAAAACTAAAACCAATTTTGTATTCACAAAACTAAATGCACCACTTCAGAGAAATAAATAGGAAGACATTTTAAGTTAGCCTTATCTCAGTCTGCGTGCAGCGCTGTCTATGGATAACAGTACCTTTCCTTTCTTTTGCTAATAGTTGCATACCTGTATGTACCCAGGAGGAAGATTTGCTTAAATGAATTGTTCAAGTGTTATCATAGTATTTGCAATGTATATTATGGTCCACTAGTTACTATAGGTCGCTTAAGGAAATACTATACACTAGAGCTAGATCTATTTAGGGAACTTACAGAAACTTTTCTTCAGTTATTCATGGCCTTGTCCCGATGGGCCTGAATCCCGCGTCACGCCTAGTTACTTCTTGCCTTGCAGTATCTTCGGCCATTTATAATCGTGGAAGTTTTTTTTTCCTGAGCATTCCTCACCTATGATTTTGGAAAAACAGGTACAGCTGGTGGCCGCCCCGGAGGCGGGGTACCCGCACAGGCTCAGCAGCAGCGCTCCCAAGGCGCCGCCCGTGTCCCCAGAGCGCTCAGAACCCAGCTCA